AAAAAATTAAAGAAAAAAAATATAAAAATATACATTAAAATAATATAAATAAATAAATATATATATATATATATATATATATATTTATATTTTTATATATTTTTATATATTTTATATATTTTTATATATATTATTATATATATTTTTGTAAATTAAATCTATATATAATATATTTATTCAAATTAAAATTTATATCCATATAATTTTTAATATATTATATATAAATTTCTTAATAGATATTTTTTTAATATGAAAATTATATAATATAAAATATTTTTGAATTATTTAATAAAATTCTTTAATAATTTTATAATGTTATTGTATTTTTTCAATTAAATATAATAATTCTACTTTATTTATTAATAAATTAAATGAATAAATATTTTATAATAATATAAAATAATAAAAAAACTAATGAAGTAAATAATAATAAAGAAAATTTAAAAAATAACTAATATATTCATTAGATATAAATTAAAAAAAAATATGTAAGAAATATTAAAAAAATTAAAATTAGGTATATAATTTAAAATTGATAATAAAGATTAAAAGTAAAAATGAATAATCAAAAATAAAAGTCAAATACGCAATTATATAAAAAAAAATATTATAAAATAAAATATAGAAAAAAAAACTAAAAAAAAAAATTAAGGAAATGTTAAAGTAAAAAAAAAATTATTAAATATAGGAATATATAAAGAAAAAAAAATAGAAAAATTATTATATAAAAATTATAATAATTTGTGAATAATTTAATTATGTATTACAAAATAAAAATTAAAAAAAATATTATTTATACAAATATAAATAAAAAAATATAAATATTTATAAATTTATATATATATATATATATATATTTTTATATATATTTATTTTTAATTTTTAATTTTTATTATTATTATTTTTATTTAATTTTATAAATTATAAAATAATTTATGTTTATAAAATTTTATATTAATAAAAAATTTATCAAAAAATCAATATATAACTTAAAATTAAAAACTAAATTTATATAATATAAAATAATTAAAAATTAATTTAATTTAAATTATATATATTATGTTTTTTTTTTTTTTTGAAACATAAATATATATAATAATATAATTTTTTTTTAATATTTATAATCTATTTCTTTTTAATAATAAACATTTATTTAAATAAAAAAAAATGAATTTTAAAATCTAAATTTTTCTTTTTACATTAATATTAATTAATAATTTAAGTTTATAAAGATAATTATAATAAGAAGGCTTAGATATCGATAATCCTATTTTATTATCATAATTTTCAAAACTTTCTAAAACTTTTGATTTGTTTAAAAAAATATATTTTTACTCTCCAATCATATCTGATTTAAATGTATTTTATTATTTAAAAATTTCAATAAGGTTTAATAATATTTATCATTTAAATGAAGATATTTCAATTTTCGAATTACCATCATTTTTACTTGTAGGATGCTTAAACTAATCTCCATCTTAAATTGATTTAGATGATTAACAATTATATATAAATTTATTCAGATAAGATTATTTTGTAGATTTTAATGGTTTTTATTCTAAAAAAACAGATTTATATTTACAGATAAACAGTAATTAATTTAAAAATTTATAAAATGATGGACAAAATAGAATTTTTTTTATGTTATAAATAAAACATTTTAGTCAATTTAGTCTAAGATTATAATACAATATTGACTTTAGTTTTAAAATATAGAGAATACCCGAATGCTTAAATTATTGCAATAAAATAAAAGGATAAGGAATTTGTAGTTTAATATAAGATTAGACAATTTGTGATTGCGAAAGAGATTTTATTGATTAAGATTGTTCAAAATAAGCATATGAAATATAAATAAGTAAAAAAAATAATTATATATATATATATATATATATATATTTATATATATATAAATATAAATATATATATATATATATATGCTATTTTTCCTTAATATATAATAAAAAATTAATTTTTTTTTAATAAAAATAAAGAAACCGAATAAAGTTTTAAAAATATTAAAAAAAGAACTTAACCTTATTATTTTTATATTCATATTGGCAATTTAAATGAATTAGATGGTTTAATATATATTAAAATGTCCGGTAATACAAAATGGGATACTATTTTTAGTATACAAGATGTGGAAAGAAATTCATATTTACCAAAATTAATTTAAGAAGAATTATTTTATTAATCTAAATATTCCCAAAACGACTTATATGAATTATTTTTTAAATTTGATAAATAAAAAGTTTCGGCTGATTTGAAAAATATTTTTCCTTTTAGAATTATTTTAGCTATAGTGAATATTGATAATAGCATTTTAAATTTAGATATTAATACAAATGATGGCATTATTGAAAATAAAAATGAAAATTCATTCAATTATGTTATCATTTATATTATTTTAGGTGCCATTGCATTTTTATTTTTAATTTACATTATTTTATTTGTAATAAAAAGACGTAAATTTTAACTAAGTTAGACTTAAGATACCTTTTTAAATAATATATAATTATATATATAAATTTTTTAAATATAAAAGTAAATTAAGTGGGAGTAAATAATTATAATAATAATATGGGTTCAAGAGTTTAAAATTAAAGGCCTTAAAAATAATTTTTAAGTTAAGATGATTTAGATTAATTTATGCCGAATTTAGTTTTTGATATAAAAGTATAATAATATTGCAAAAATGTCTAATGTTCTATATGTTTGGAAGATTTTTAATTTGGATAAACAATATTAGAATCACTATTTGTAAGCATTTGTTTCATAGCAATTGCTTATAAGATTGGCTAAATAAATAATAAAATTGTCCTTTTTGCAGGCAAGAATTGAATAAATAAGCTTTGTTGTAATATCAAAGAAATCATTAAAATAAATATAATCATATCGATGCTATTAAAATGTAAAAACTTGAAATTTTTGATTATAATGTAAAAAACAATAAAGCTTAAAGATAGAATAGTATACAATAATTAACTAATTTTAAAGTTAATATTAAAAGTAGTTAAGAAATTAATAATTAAATAAAAAAACCAGTTTAAGAAAATATGAATTTAATGCAAATTAATATTTTGACAAAAAATAATAATAACGATAAATCTAAAAATCAAAATGAGAATAAAGAAGAACATAAAAAAGTTGAATAAGAAGATATTAATTAAATTATGGCCTTATCTAATTCTAATATTTCTGATTGACTATGGTTTTCTTTATCTTTTAATAAAAAAAAAAATATATATATAATTCATATTATGTTATTTTTATTAAAGTTATTAATTAACAAATATATTTTTTCGTATTTATTGATAGTTATTATTTTTTAAATGTAATTCTTTTATTTGATTGTTTAATAATTTATTTAATTATTTGTATGCAAATATTATTTTATTAAATATAATATTTTATTTTTTATTTAATTAAAAAATATAACTTATATTTTTTAGTATGCATTTTTTTTATTTTTTTATCTAATTTTTATTAAGATATTTTTTTTTTATTATTTACATTTATCTTTGGTTTCTTTTTATTTTATAATAAAATTTAACAAATATTTATATCTAAATTATTGTTTAAATTTACATACATAATCCTTAATATCAGTCATATATTTAATCTTAAGTAATTCTTTATTTTTGAAAAAAACTGAAAACATATTCAATTTAGTTATTTTAATGTAGAAATTTTTTCATTTAAAATTTATTTGTTTATTAAATTATAATTTATTTTTCTAATTAATTATTTTTTATTTATAATTATAAATATTATATTTAATTTTCTAATGTAATTTTTTCTTTGCAAATATTATTAATAAAACATATATATTATCAATTTTTTTCTATTACTCAATAACTCTAAATTTTCTTTCTTTTATTTTTAAAAATATATATTTTCTGATTTTATATTAATTATTTAGCCTTAATATACATTTTCTTTTTATTAATTTTCTATTTCATTTTTAATTTTTTATGACTACGGTTTTCGCTATCAAATTCATTTATTTTCAAGTTATTTTTCTTCTTTTTCTATTTGAATTTTTTTATTTTTTACTCAATTTTAATTTTTATGTCTTTTATTTATAATATTTTACATAAACAATTTTTAATTATAATTAATTTATAATTATTTAAATCATTTTTTTTTTTTTTATTTAGTCTGTATATTACAAATTCATATTATTAGCTTTTTAAAATTAGATGCTAATTTTAAGATCATTAGATTTTAAATTATATGGTTTTTTTAATATTATCGCTTATTATAAATTTTTTATAATTGCTTTGTAGTTTTTTTTAATTTTGCGAAAAAAAAATATTTCTTCGTTTAAATATATTATTTTGGATTTTTTTTTTTTTATGTAATTATATTTAAATGGCATTTATTTTATGTTGCAAAGAAGTATAAAAATGTTAATTTAAATTATTTATGCTTATTTTGATTTATATGGTAAAAAATAATTAATAAAATTAATTTATTTATCACATATTTTTGTAACATTATATAATTACTTATTAAATAATTAAAAAAAATACATACATAATTAAATATTTTTTTCAATATTAATAATATAAAATAATTAAATAAAATAATTTAATTTTAATTATTTTTTATTTAAAAATTTTATTTTATTTTTAACCTATATATTTTATATTTATTTATTCAAATAAAATAATTTATTTATTTACCAATTTTTTTAATTATTATTAAAAAATTTTTCTTAAATAATTAATATTTTTTTTATAAAAAATTGATAAAGTATTAAGTTTAAAAATTAAATATTTTATATATTTTTATTACTATTAATTTCAATTTAATTAATTAAAGCATTATTAAATAAGTGTATAATAAATATTACCATATATAATACATTTTTAAAAATATAATTATATATTGTAATAAAATATAACATCAAATGCTATATTAAAAATTAAAATTTATTATCTATAGGCACTATAACCTAGCCATTGAGAAATAAAACTTAAGAAATAAATAAACTATTTACTATTTAAAATTTAAAAAATAATATTTATAAAATGAAAATATTCAAATAAATCATATAAAAATATATTTTTTTAATGATATTGAAAAAAACATTTAAAAACAAAATTTACAAAAAAAAATATATATATATATAATTATAAAAATTTAAATTAAATTTCAATTATTATAATAAAACAAATAAAAGTTTAAAATGGTTGAGTAAAATTACATTAATACAAATAAATAAAAAGACTTATTTAAGCTTTTAAAAAAACTAGTTTTATATAATTTATAATGATATTAATATTTATATATGTATTTTAATATGTGATTCATAATAAATAAAAATTATAATATATTAATATTATTATATTTAGACAGAAAATTAAATTGAAAAAAAAATACTGTCCATTTAATAATAATTCTCGAAAATCAAAACAAAGATAAATGCAAATAAAAGACATTTATTTAAGTAATAAACATAAAGGATAGACATAAAAATATTAATATAGCTTATTGATAAAAATATATTTCATAGTATATTAGAATGAAGTTTTAAATTTTTATTTTTGTATCAATTACTTTATTTAGATTAAAAGTTGAATCATTACAAAAATAACATATCGATACCAATTTTTTTATTTAAAAATTATCATAAAATAAAAAATTATATTAATTTTATTAAATTAAAAAAAATTTTTTTTTAGAAAAATACATTATTATATATATACTAAATAAGAACAATATAATAAAATATTATATGTTATAATCAAAAAAATCTAAAAAAATGTTAATAGTTACGAAATTATTTAAATATATAATAAAAAAAAATTAAAATATAAGTTTTCTCTAAATATATTCAAGTTTTATAATTATATAATATATTTTTAATAAAAAAAAAAAATATATATTATTTAATCTCTATATTTCAATAAAATTTAAATATTATATTATAGATGGAAAAAAATAAAAATAAAAAATTTATGAGTATTTAATAAATATTATTAAATGAATACATTATATATAAATATATAAATATAAATTTATATATTTATATATATATATT